CTTTGAACTTTGATGGTTTTAAATATATGTTATCCTACCAAAATTGTACGGATGAGGTTTTAACAGCCTGCTGAACTTAAGAGTAATTTACAGTTTTCCAGCGTTTAAGTGTTAGTAGTAATCATTGATAGACATTTGATAGCTGAATGGTCATCGTATCATCTGTCTTCAAAGGAACTACGACAAACATTAACCTTCTCACCTGATTTTATATATGATCTTTAATGTTTTGTGATTTTTCTGTAAGGTATAGAGATGGCAGTTCAATTTTATGTTTATATTTGTAAACATTATGTTATTTAAGGTATATTTTAGTTTTGTCAGTTTTCATAGATGAAGGGGTTGATGTTGGAGAACACAATGATGTAGATGAAGGGGTTGATGTGCAAGCACAATGATGTAGATGAAGGGGTTAATGTGCAAGCACAATGATGTAGATGAAGGGGTTGATGTTTGAGAACACAATGATGTAGATGAAGGGGTTGATGTTGGAGAACACAATGATGTAGATGAAGGGGTTGATGTTGGAGAACACAATGATGTAGATGAAGGGGTTAATGTTGAAGAACACAATGATGTAGATGAAGGGGTTGATGTTTGAGAACACAATGATGTAGATGAAGGGTTGATGTGCGAGAACACAATGATGTAGATGAAGGGGTTGATGTTGGAGAACACAATGATGTAGATGAAGGGGTTGATGTTGGAGAACACAATGATGTAGATGAAGGGGTTGATGTTGGAGAACACAATGATGTAGATGAAGGGGTTGATATTGGAGAACACAATGATGTAGATGAAGGGGTTGATGTTGGAGAACACAATGATGTAGATGAAGGGTTGATGTTGGAGAACACAATGATGTAGATGAAGGGGTTGATGTGCGAGAACACAATGATGTAGATGAAGGGGTTGATGTTGGAGAACACAATGACGTAGATGAAGGGTTGATGTTCGAGAACACAATGATGTAGATGAAGGGGTTGATGTTGGAGAACACAATGATGTAGATGAAGGGGTTGATGTTGGAGAACACAATGATGTAGATGAAGGGGTTGATGTTGGAGAACACAATGATGTAGATGAAGGGGTTGATGTTGGAGAACACAATGATGTAGATGAAGGGGTTGATGTTGGAGAACACAATGACGTAGATGAAGGGTTGATGTTGGAGAACACAATGATGTAGATGAAGGGGTTGATGTTGGAGAACACAATGATGTAGATGAAGGGGTTGATGTTGGAGAACACAATGATGTAGATGAAGGGGTTGATGTTGGAGAACACAATGATGTAGATGAAGGGGTTGATGTTGGAGAACACAATGATGTAGATGAAGGGGTTGATGTTGGAGAACACAATGATGTAGATGAAGGGGTTGATGTGCAAGCACAATGATGTAGATGAAGGGGTTGATGTCAAAGAGGTAGATGAAGGGGTTGATGTTTGAGAACACAATGATGTAGATGAAGGGGTTGATGTTGGAGAACACAATGATGTAGATGAAGGGGTTGATGTTGGAGAACACAATGATGTAGATGAAGGGGTTGATGTACAAGCACAATGATGTAGATGAAGGGGTTGATGTTTGAGAACACAATGATGTAGATGAAGGGTTGATGTGCGAGAACACAATGATGTAGATGAAGGGGTTGATGTTGGAGAACACAATGATGTAGATGAAGGGGTTGATGTTGGAGAACACAATGATGTAGATGAAGGGGTTGATGTTGGAGAACACAATGATGTAGATGAAGGGGTTGATATTGGAGAACACAATGATGTAGATGAAGGGGTTGATGTTGGAGAACACAATGATGTAGATGAAGGGTTGATGTTGGAGAACACAATGATGTAGATGAAGGGGTTGATGTGCGAGAACACAATGATGTAGATGAAGGGGTTGATGTTGGAGAACACAATGACGTAGATGAAGGGTTGATGTTCGAGAACACAATGATGTAGATGAAGGGGTTGATGTTGGAGCACACAATGATGTAGATGAAGGGGTTGATGTTCGAGAACACAATGATGTAGATGAAGGGTTGATGTTGGAGAACACAATGATGTAGATGAAGGGGTTGATGTGCGAGAACACAATGATGTAGATGAAGGGGTTGATGTTGGAGAACACAATGACGTAGATGAAGGGTTGATGTTGGAGAACACAATGATGTAGATGAAGGGGTTGATGTTGGAGAACACAATGATGTAGATGAAGGGGTTGATGTTGGAGAACACAATGATGTAGATGAAGGGGTTGATGTTTGAGTACCTTATGCTGTAGATGAAGGGGTTGAAGTGCGAGTATCTAATGCAGTAGATGAAGGGGTTGAAGTGCGAGTATCTAATGCAGTAGATGAAGGGGCTGAAGTGCGAGTATCTAATGCAGTAGATGAAGGGGTTGATGTGCGAGTATCTAATGCAGTAGATGAAGGGGTTGAAGTGAGTGTCTAATGCAGTAGATGAAGGGGTTGATGTGCGAGTATCTAATGCAGTAGATGAAGGGGTTGATGTGCAAGTATCTAATGCAGTAGATGAAGGGGTTGATGTGCGAGAACACAATGATGTAGATGAAGGGGTTGATGTTGGAGAACACAATGACGTAGATGAAGGGTTGATGTTCGAGAACACAATGATGTAGATGAGTATCTAATGCAGTAGATGAAGGGGTTGATGTGCGAGTATCTAATGCGGTAGATGAAGGGGTTGATGTGCGAGTATCTAATGCAGTAGATGAAGGGGTTGATGTGCGAGTATCTAATGCAGTAGATGAAGGGGTTGATGTGCGAGTATCTAATGCAGAAGATGAAGGGGTTGATGTGCGAGTATCTAATGCAGAAGATGAAGGGGTTGATGTGCAAGTACCCAATATAGATAGTATTAGTTGCTGTATGTGCATAACTTCAATATGCTACTCAATTTATGTGTCATTATTGTGACATGCATCCAGTGTGGCATAAAATTGACAAATATTGATGTATTGACATGAAATTTACACTCAGGATGTCTCTTGTTTCAGACAATTCTCAATAACCCAGAAATGGCTGACTTTGCATCTCCTATGTTTTTATTACTCTCGCTCTCATGCAGTGCCTGTGTCATATTTCTTTGTCCCTTCCTCGACTGATATCAGAGTTATTGTCCAACTAAAACTGGAAAAAAACGGCATGAAAAACGTTCTTCACATTCTATATGCTTGATTATTGGACAGCTACTGTTTGTGGTTTATGACCTTTAGGGTTCAAAGTGATACACTGAAGTCTTGTCAGTAACATGAGACATCATAATGATAATACTACCTATGTATTGTAGAAGGTTTTAAGAGCCAAATAGTAATCAAATGCTTGGCTTGTTGTTCAGATGTAAGCAAATGGGGGATCTGTCAGGGCCATGCTTTTTCAATTTCAAACATTTGTTAGGCATGTTTGATGTGTGCAACTTTCTGCAATGCCAGACATTATCTCAGTGACCATTAAACAGAAATCATTCTACAGTGTATTTTCAGGATTCCTTTTCAGTTTTACTGCTGAAAACATTGGGTCCTACAATGTTATATTCCAGTATTTTCTAGTGATTCTATGAGTCCCATTACAGTACTCAGGACTTACAGGTAGATTTATCACTACATTGACCATCTTTCTTTACATCTGCTTTCACATCACAATGATGATTTTTAAAAAAAACAACTGACCTGCCTTACTGTGTTTCCTCTTTTTCACTGTTTACTGAAAAATTCTACGTTTATCTGTTTGTGATGTATATGGAAAGCATATAAAATTTTAATAAAGGCAAATATTTCAAATTTAGTCTTTAAAATCTCCATTTTAGAATTATAAATTATGTCACCGATCAGGAGCATACACCATTCATCAATGCATATCGTTCTCAATTTTTACCAGGTTGTGTAAAAATTTTGCATGTGCATTGCTATAATAACGCACATGTATTACAATACCTTTGCGATGCACCAAGGAACTGCACTACTTTTTGGCCTGTTGGGGTAATGCCATTGTACGTACTTAATAGGATGTTGGAATTTGTATATATTAAATCCTAAATGCTGGAGTGAACACATTAGAACTAATCTCCCGTTTGTTCCAACAAATCTCAGAAAGTGGATAGAATTTGGTTTCATGAAAATCTCTCAGAGGATAAATGCTCTGTCATGATTTCTTGAAATTTCATTACTTATTCAGATGTACATATACATGTATATACATTCAAATATCTAGCTTTCAAGTGAAAATATATCATTTTTGAGGATATGTAATGAAATTTAATTTTATTGTCAGTGGAAGATATGTCAAAGCCTAGCAAACTTTCAGCAGTAGTTAAATTCTGATCATTGTCAGACTTTCTTAATTTCTGTTTATAGAAATTATTATGTGTGTTTTGTTAAAATGGAAAAGTATGTAAGTTAATGGACACAGGTAAATTACCAGGTATTAAGAAAATCTCAAGTCTTCTGTGATATACAGATAAATCTTTGCTGCTTTAGTCAAATAATGTTTGCATTTGTTCAACAAAACAGAAAACAAGCTGTTGTCATTTGATTGTTTAGTCAGTTTAAGGAATTGTTTATTACTTTTGACAGGTGACTTGGTTTCCTACAAAATGTAAAAGATTTCATAGTTTTAGGTACTGTATATATAAAACCCAGCACAGCTATTCTTTGTTAAATAACACTAATAATATATCATCTTACCTGCTACTTGTGTATGAACACACAAAGGAATCTCACGCTTGCTTAAACTTACTACATTATATAGGTGGGGAATTGAACCTTTGAGGCCTAGTTACTTTCATTATACAACCATTTATCTTGTTTATGGTACAAAATTGAAATTTTGAAACTACCACTTAAAAATCTTCAAATAAATTTGTGCAGTAAAAATTTTAATGTTATATTTTATGAGTTTCATTTCTAACTGATGGGAAATTCTTTTTTTTGTTTTAGATAAATGGCTAGAGAGGTCAAAAAGGGTCAAATGTAAGGAATGGACATGGAGTTGCCAAGGCGATTCTCCGGAGGCCGTATGAGCCTTAAAGATGATCTTGATATAGATTTCAATGATGCAAGTCGTGCCTCAACTCCAATGAGTATATTAAGCTCCAAATCAGAAGGTCGGCGGCGAGAGCGTTCGTCTCACCATCATACTACTGATGATTACAAGAGGAAAATTGCTCGACTAAAAAGTGAACTGGAAATGGAGAAAGCAAGAAATAAACAGGTGTATCGTGATAAAAGTGAGGAAATCAAGTTAATACGCGAGTCATATGCTCAAGATCGTAACCGTGAATACCGAGAGCTGGAGAAGAAACTCAGTCTCGAGAAACAGAAGGAGGTTGAAATCCTTCAGGAAAATATAATCAAACGCAAGGATGAGGAATTACAGCAGGTTTTCAGATATAAAGAGGATGAAGTGAAAAATCTCAACGAAAAACTCAAGAAGGAAAAGGAAACAAAGATGGTTACAGAGGAAAAGAAACGTGAATACAAAGAAGAGTTAAGAAAAATGAAGGAAGAATTACAAGGATTGAAAGAAGAAAAAGAGAAAATTGAAAAGGAATATAGTAAAAAGTGTGATGATGAGAACAAGAAGGAGAAAGAGTTCTCAGAATTAAAGGAAGGTTATGATGCTGAACTACGTAGGATTATAGGCGAATCAAAAAAGCTTGCTATGGGAAATTTACAAAAGTTGAAAAAAGCTGAGAAAGCTTTAGTGAATGATGGTAGTGCCTTGAATGAGGATGATGATCTTTCACTTCTCGATCGGATGACACCGTTTTCTGATTATTCCAGTCGTGCACCGAGTACAAGTCTTGGGTTTCGTCTTGAGGATTTAAAATTAGATGATCTTCGAATTGAGGAAGAAGATATTGAAAATTTGTTAGCCTCAGCACAGCCAGCACCTTCAGCTTTCACCAAGGTGCGACGACAAACTCCTGTCAGTCTTCCGTCTAAGTCACCAAACCTAGTCAGTCCTCGTCCATTCAGCGTTGCCAGCGATGCGGGGGATCTGGACAGCACACTTGAGGTGAGTGATTTTTTTCTAAAATACATTTGAAATTTTTTCCACAGTTTTTATTTTCAGTTAATGGAACAACTGATGTTTTTGTAGTAATAATTCTGATGTTGTATCGATTTTTTCATATTGTCTGGTGTCTCCAATCATCAGAGCTACAGTCCTATATCAGATGAGGGAAATAAGAGACCTGTACTAGGGTCAGAAGTGAAACGATTGTTGTGGAAAGAAATTGTCGTATTTATATGCATTCCATATATGGATCGAGACCTCTACTATGTTAGATATTGACAGATGATAAGCGAGCTCTGACTGTGTAGTGTCTATAGGGTCTGAACATTATCTCTGTTATTTGTTTCTGGAAGGTTTTGACAACTTGATAAGGTTACTGGGTGAATGTAGGGTTATGTAGGTATACTAAGGTCAGTTATTTACTTATATCAGTGTGAGAGGTGCTGGTGATTTACCTCAAGTTCACACCTAATATATCTACTAATATATGTAAACAAACAAAATCAGGGTAGTTGTACTGTAATATATGGTTATATATTGTATATAAAACCATGTTATTTATATATATATATATGCTTTGAACCATTCAGAAAGACATTAGGGTATAAGACATCTTTAAATTGCATTCAGGTAGTCATAATCAGACATATTCTTTAACTTATCCCCATAGCAATAAAGATAATTTGTACACCTGTGTGAAAAAAAAAAAACTACCCAGGAGACCAGGACACATTGCTTCCTCTTCAGAATAAGATGGGGGGGGGCATCGGGCTTATTAGAGATTGAGGAAATTGCGTTGGCTAGGTTTGTGATTTTACTGCATACAATTGTAGTCTTTTATATAGATGGGCTTATTACCAGTTATGGACTTATTACCAGACATGGACTTATTACCAGACATGAGCTTATTACCAATGTATGATCTATTACCTATCATGTTATAGTTCTGAACATAATTTTACAGAAAGCCTCATTTTGTGTTTTGATACGGTGTGAAATGTAATTTGTGAAAAATTGTGTGATAACATGTAAATTAGACATATCTTAGCTAGGCGGCCTTGTGTAATATTATGTGTTTGCTGAAACCTGCTCTGGCCTGGTTAAAATCTATACTTCTAAAAATATCAGTTTTATATTAGTTTTGATAAATAATTTTAAAATGTGGTGTGATATTATGTCCTTAACATCATGATAAAATGATATGAATGTACTACACTCTCCAGTGTTGAATATTCAAGTTTGAATCCAGCTGTAATTGAATTCTGTATAAGAAGACCAAGCATAATCAAAATAGAAATTCAAAATTTCTTTTATGAATATTTAGATTTTGTTTTTTTCATTAGGTCAGTATATATGCACATTATTACTATTGAAACCTGCAGCTTACAATGATGTTCAACACTACCTTGCATGTTGTTGCATGTTCAGAACTGTTTGTAGAATCTATTTATAGATTATTGATGAGACAGAATTCATTATTCTAAAAACATCCAACCTGTCAATTACCTGGAACAAAATTCCAAGACAATAGACAGGTGTGTTGTGAACAAGTTTGATTGTGGCTGCTGCATGTGTATGTACTTGTTTGGAGGGATATATTAATTTTGTTACTGTGGATGAATGAACAAGTGACAATTAGAACTCAACAGATCAGTTGTTGATTGGATAAATACAGTGCAAGGTTTATAGAAAAGTAATTAGCTTAATTGTTGTTATTATTGTTATTTTTTAAGAAAATTTTGTGTTCGTACACGATACATCCTTATGTGGACTTTAAAGGATGTTTGTGAATCTATTAAGACAGACAGGTGTGCATGAGACAGAAAATTTGACTCATCAGATCTTAAATTTTGTAAAGTACATGTATTCTGTAAAAGTGATATCCATGAAACAGCTGTTTCAAACATGACGTATGTGACTTTTGATGATCCTGTGATTGGCTAACCCTGACTTTGGCTTTTCCTGAATTTGGATAACTCTGAATTTGGCTAAACCCCCAGACAGAAGCATTACATCCCTTGTTCACACACACCTTTACAACACAGGTGTACTTATATGTAACCTATACCTCACTAGTTTACCTGAGCTCTTTTCAGCCAAGTATAATTTTGACCAGGTCTGTGATTATTGATATATTTTATCTGTTAAACATTAACATTGTAATAACACAGCCTCGTTTATTGTCTTAATACATAGATTGAAACATTTATCAATATTGACCTGGTGTGGTAATGAAATGACAGCCGACATAAAATTGGGAAATTGATTTGTTTTGTTGACAATATAACTGACTAGAATGGCTCAGTGTTGGTGATGGTTTGGTACATTATTGTAGTCTCGTACTGGATTATAAAGGGCATGACACTCTTAATTCTGTCTGTCTCTCCATAGACCATACAGTACAGAAGATTTGAGACCTGGTCGCATGTCAAATGCCTGTCTATCTATTACTCTATGATCTGTCCATTTGTCCGCCTCTTAACATTTATTCAGTATAACTGTGTAACCTGTCTGACTGTCCATTTGTCCGCCTCTTTACATTTATTCAATATAACTGTGTAACCTGTCTGACTGTCCATTTGTCCGCCTCTTTACATTTATTCAATATAACTGTGTAACCTGTCTGACTGTCCATTTGTCCGCCTCTTTACATTTATTCAGTATAACTGTGTAACCTGTCTGACTGTCCATTTTTCCTTTCTGTATCAAGAGGACTGCAGGACTGCAGATTTCTCTATAGTGTCCAAGTGCATGCTTGGTATTAAGCCCACTGTTCAATAGAATGGTCAACAAATGATATTACTAATTATCCCAACCCTGACTTTGAATGAGAGGTTGTGTACTAGACACTTGGATTTACCCAGGATGAATATACAGTAGATAGTCAGGAATTTTGTCGTAAGATTTTGTGGAGTTTGAAGTCACAGTTCTCTGTGTGATTTATGATTTTTCAGTACAAGATTGTACAAAATACACACAAGTATATAGCACCTTTTGATTTCTTAAATAAATTACAATAGAACCAAACATTGAATTAAACTGGTCATGTAGCTGTTTCGTCCTTCTAGGACCTGTCAGTGATACTAAGGGAGTGACTGAAGAAAATAAGAAATCAAGATGGACAAAGATGTCTTAATGTTTTGTATTTTTGGACAGTGCCATTTACAAGCAGATGAGGATACAACAGTAGTTACCAACAGTAACTGTATAATATGTTTTTAATGTTTGGTAGCAAAATGTAATGAACTAAATAAATGAACTGAGTTTACAACGACGAAAGTCACAAGTACAGATATTATTTAACTGATGTGTTTAATCACAAAGGAGTTCTCACTCACGAACAAATCTGGACATTTAAAAGAAGTATTACATACATATCTTTATAACGATGACTGAGTAGTCAATTAGTCTATTGCGGTGTAGATTTTAGAGCCTTTACGGTAATGTACTGAAATGCCTTAAAGTATATGTATATATGACTCATGTATTGTTTTTATGTCTATATTGACAAATGATACTTACATTTCATACCTGCATACCTATAATGTATGTAGATACTGGCACGCTGTTCAAGTCTACCTCAGCAACATCTGTCCAGGTATTCAATTTACCTGTGGGGCCCTTATAGGGAATTTAAGTGAAAAAATGCTTTCAAACACAAAACTTGATGTTTGTTTTCTGTACATTGAACTGGGATGCCAAAGATAGTTTTCAATGTCAATTTTACAAAGAGCTTGAATCCCTGTTCTCATTTATGGATTTCTATGCTAGTTCCTCAGATTTGAAAGTAGCTTTTCCTGTGATTCCTATAAATAGTATTATATAAATGTGACATAAAGTATTAATCGGATGAAAACCTTAGAGCTTCCTCACTATGATGCATAATCACATGTTTAGAAGATACACTTCTGTAGACATGTGCTTGAGTTACTGCTGACAGTAGCGTTGGTGATGAATCGTAATCACAGATACAGCAGGACATGGAAAGTTTCGGCTTTGACGAATTTGTGATGATATACGTGAACAATTGTACTGATATTTAAACAAAGTGAAAATTAAGTAGTTCTGGAAATGTTACAGGATGATTTTGTATTTTACAAACTTATATATATATGGATGACTGCAATGTGAAGGACTTTCACAGATGTCTAAGTTATATGGAGTTGATGGAAGTCCTTGACCTTGAAAATCTTGTAGATTTGTAAGATACGATATGTATGGAATATATCATCTGTAGCAGTTATAACACAGAGACTCATCAACATACATCTCACAGGTAAGGTCACTCATATGTATTTCAACAGCAAAAGACAAACTCAATGTTGATAGTTACTATACCATACTAAAGAGTGAAATTTACAGAAGTTTCACTAGTAAATATATAAATAATTGGAACAACATATACGATTTATATAAACACCACAGGTCAACATGATTGGTTGACCTTTGTTGACATTTGATCAACATTGATGTTGACTTGGGGTCAACATAGGATTGTCACTGCTTTTGAGTCATGACAATACTATAATGGTTCTTAATGTTATGTAAGTCTTGTTATTTTAACTATAAATATGGTTTGTATTTAATTCTCAAAATTACTAGAGGTTTATGGGATGGGGAAAGTAGATTGTTTACCAGCTTAATGCTGAAGTTTTCCAGAGTTGAAACCCTGTCAGTGGCATTGAAATAAATGATGACCTCTGTTACTGAGTTGTATAATTTGAATTTCATACGTGGGTTGTGTTGTGATTGTTTTCTTTTAGTTTTGTTGTGGTAATTTAACAGCATGTAATTTGATTTACCCCACTTACAGTGATGTTAGAATCTCATTTTATCATAAAATATGGCAAAATGTGAGTATGAATGGTTATGCTTTCAACTTGCCAAATATAGTGACTGACTTTATATTAAAGAAATATTTTCTGCTATATTTCTTATGATAGGAAATGTTTCAATATGGTTTGCAGACTGCAGGTTTGTTATAGAATGTGAAATCCTTATCCCAACAAATAGTTATACTCAAACTTTGGGCTGACTCGGATCAATTTGTAAACTTTAATCAATGTTGTGGAAGTGTTTGCATTGATTGAGGTTCAATCAGATAAATGTTCTTGTGATTGTTTACTTTGTAAATCCACATTTGAATGACTTTTGGCAGGTAACCAAGCGAGTCCAAATAAAGGCGAATCCTCGTAATACTAAAAAGGTAAAGTGGTTGTTATTTGTGTTGTCGTATAAATCATATTTGACTATTTCTCCTCTTACTATAAGTGTGTATTTTTCCCTTACTTTCCAAATTTCTTCTTTATGGTTTGTCAGATATTGTATGCAGTTTGGAATTTGCCTTTTCCTTATTTTGTAAACATAATGTACATGCTTATTTCAGTGACTTCTCTTCCAATGTGCCAATATGCTTTGCTTGAATATGAGATTTTATTTAGTATTCACAACATAGATCATCAGGGATTTTTCAGACCTGATAAAGGAATGTTGCACCTGAGGTCCACCTGACATTGTTGTCACCAATTTTTCTACCATCACAACTCACAGACCACAATCCAACACATAGAGTTGTTTCAGCACCATACTTTTCTCTGAGTATAAAATATAAATATAAAACCTTTGTTAAACCACATGTATAGAATTAATTACCAAGTATATAAGTCAATCGCAACAGGTTCGGGATAAGTTGATTTTTTTTAGTGTGAAACGTCTACCGGTTTCGCCTGAACAATGGGCTTCTTCAGGACCAACGAAGAACCAACGGAACCTCAATAAGAACTTACGGCGTTGGCTCTACCCCTGGATTTATGAATTAATTACCAGTTACGTTCTGATCTAATGTTGGAAATTTTAGGGGAGTTATTCATTACTACTCAATGATATGGTCTACACATTGTGACAGGACCTGTTACAATTAAACCTTATGGTGACAAAAGGTTTTGATAATATACAGGTTAATAGATCTATTCAGTCCCTCATATGTGTTCCATCAGAATCCAAACATTGTATGTGTCTGTAATTCTCTTTAGTTCTAGAAAACAAGAAACATTAAAAGTTTGTGGGTTTAGACTAGATCTTTATAGATTTGTGAACAAAGGTGAAGTTTACCTACACTTGGGACACAAAAGTTTTCAGTTTGAACTGCTGGTTATTTTAAATATACTCTTGCCAGAAGAATGTGTGAAGTTGTTCTTACTATCTTAAAGAAAACCATTTAAATACTCCTTGTGCCATTCATCAACCTTGATATCATTTTATGTCCAAATGACAAAAACTTGAAAATATGTCTAAAGAAAAAGTGCACTGGCCTGGGCTGGATGGTGCATCTATCTTAATGTTTAAATAAGTTTGCTCCAGATTTCACTGCTGATTAAAGTCACTGACAGATTCCTGTGAACTCCCAATTTGATGAGAAAGACAGGGAAGGCTGAAATGAAGTTCATTCTGCATGTATCATTGGTGTATATATAAAATCCACCCCTTGGAAACATCAATTTCAGATTTGTTTCTGTGTACCTTTAATCTTTTTGTGTGATGTACATGTGGTGATGATCACTTTTTAAAATGTTGTCCTTTTAATGTAATCCTTTCATGTTTGATTTCCAAATACCAATTTTTACATGGCACCTGCAATATGGCTGGCTCTTTTCTGCTTTGCATTTATATCTACTGTACATGGCATGCCATTAATCTTGAATATTTAACTGGATCAATGACCTTTATAAGCTTAGTATACCACAAAGAGTGCATTTACATGTATATCTGCATTTGAGGTTTACAGTTCTGCTTGTGGAATATTTGATATATTGGAGTACACTTTTAAAATTTCAGGTATTGGAGTTTTATATGTATTACCAAAGTATCAAGTATTGTATTAAGGCTCAGCTTTGTGCAGTAACACAGTGGAACCCACTTAATGTGACATCTTTTAATGTCAATTTCTGGTTAATATCACATTTTCTTGAAACACTTATTTGTTCCCTATATATACAAAGTATTCTTTGTACCGTAATCCAATATCTAATAATATCACTTATTTTATGTGGGCAATGCTTAATGTCACTTCAATCATGTTTGCCCTATCTAGTGGAGACAAACATGTTTATCCGATCTGGTTAGGACAATCATGTTTGTCCTATCTGGGGGGACAATCATGTTTTTCCTATCTTGATAGGACAACCATGTTTGTCCTATCTGGGGGGACAATCATGTTTGTCCTATCTGGTAGTGACAATCATGTTTGTCCTATCTGTTAGTGACAATCATGTTTGTCCTATCTGTTAGTGACAATCATGTTTGTCCTATCTGTTAGTGACAATCATGTTTGTCCTATCTGGTAGTGACAATCATGTTTGTCCTATCTGTTAGTGACAATCATGTTTGTCCTATCTGGTAGTGACAATCATGTTTGTCCTATCTGGGGGGGATAATCATGTTTGTCCTATCTGGTGAGGACAATCATGTTTGTCCTATCTGGGGGGACAATCATGTTTTTCCTATCTTGATAGGACAATCATGTTTGTTCTATCTGGGGGGACAATCATGTTTGTCCTATCTGGTAGTGACAATCATGTTTGTCCTATCTGGGGGGACAATCATGTTTGTCCTATCTGTTAGTGACAATCATGTTTTTCCTATCTTGATAGGACAATCATGTTTGTTCTATCTGGGGGGATAATCATGTTTGTCCTATCTGGTAGTGACAATCATGTTTGTCCTATCTGTTAGTGACAATCATGTTTGTCCTATCTGGTAGTGACAATCATGTTTGTCCTATCTGTTAGTGACAATCATGTTTGTCCTATCTGGTAGTGACAATCATGTTTGTCCTATCTGGGGGGGGGGGGAATCATGTTTGCCCTATCTGGTTAGGACAATCATGTTTTTCCTATCTGGTTAGGACAATCATGTTTGTCCTATCTGGTAAGGACAATCATGATTCTTATATCAGGAGGGGACAGTCATGATTCTCCGATCTGGTAGAGACATTGTCAAAATATGAGGTATTTATTAGCGTGAGCACAGTAAATATTACATACTCATCTTTACCCATCAGATGATACCCTTATTGTGTTGTTATGTGTCTGCAGGTCAGAAACCTAGACATTACATGCAAATTTTAACTCTGTTTATTTACAAAATATGTAGAGACACAACATTAAGTGATAACAAATTAACTCAAGCAGGACTCGGTTACAGTAAAACTATACAGTGCAATAACAGTTATAATGGGCCAGGGTCATAGATCAAAGGTCATGCAAGGTCACCATAGCTTAAAATGATAATACTGTTTTGTGTGCAACATACATAATGAAGTAGTGACTAAATCAGTTCTTATTAGACTTTACATGGTTGTGCTTGGCATCAGGTTTGGTCTGATTGGATTGTTGCAATCAGAGGTTAAAGGTCAATGTCTTCAGAGCTGAATGTTATTACTTTGTTGTCTACAGCATTCTGGAAGATTCAGAAATGTCACTTATCAAGGTCAAAGAATAAGGTCATGTGGTGTTAATACCACTTGAGTACATGCTGTCTGTCATATACATCAGTTAAATTGGAAACATCAATCTTGGATTAAAAAGTTGTCTGTTTATACAGTGTACAGTGACCTCGATGGTTACCACTACCTGTGTTGTGACAGACCTGTGTACAGTGACCTTGATGGTTACCACTACCTGTGTTGTGACAGACCTGTGTACAGTGACCTCGATGGTTACCACTACCTGTGTTGTGACAGACCTGTGTACAGTGACATCGATGGTTACCACTACCTGTGTTGTTACAGACCTGTGTTCAGTGACCTCGATGGTTACCACTACCCGTGTTGTGACAGACCTGTGTTCAGTGACCTCGATGGTTACCACTACCTGTGTTGTGACAGACCTGTGTACAGTGACCTCGATGGTTACCACTACCTGTGTTGTTACAGACCTGTGTTCAGTGACCTCGATGGTTACCACTACCTGTATTGTGACAGACCTGTGTTCAGTGACCTTAATGGTTATTACTACCCGTGTTGTGACAGACCTGTGTACAGTGATCTCGATAGTTACCGCTACCTGTGTTGTGACAGACCTATGTATAGTGACCTAGATGGTTACCACTACCTGTGTTGTGACAGACCTGTGTTCAGTGACCTTAATGGTTATTACTACCTGTGCTGTTACAGACCTGTGTACAGTGACCTAGATCACTTCTCAATACACACATCACATCCAAATTTACGAGGATCAAACCTTACACCGCAGTAGCCAAGACTTAGATTAAAAGTTAATCTGATTGAATATAGTATGTGACTTTGTCATAATGACCCATACTTAATGAAGATTATCTTACCATTCAGATTTTTAAACTTGGTTGTACAGCTGGAAGGGTATTCAGGGTAACTAGATTTGAATTAAAATCTTTGTACCTTATGTTTTTTTCCTTAAATTAAAGGGAACAAAAATTGATTAAGGAAATCAATTGGGCTAACAATTTAAACATAATTAGGAAAAATATGTATGTCTGTGGTGGGTATAGGGGTGGGCAGGTATATAGGAGGCGGTGAGGTGTTTGGGTCATGGCAGCATTTATAGCCTGGGATACACTGTGTCTTTAAACTTACATGATAATTCATGTTTGTGTAACCACACCCAGCGGTTAGATAAACATTGCACTGTGCCTTATTTCTTCAGGAAAATGGTAGCAGTTCATTTAATATAATTCATATATTGATTTGTTTACTAAGTGACAGATAGTTTTTGAAAACACACGTGAACACATCAAAATTTGTACGCTATAATTTTTATTTGTTCTCTGAAGCATGAAACTAAAATTGTTTAATGATGTAGAAATGTTAGTTTAATGTCTGACAGTGTTAAGTAAAACCTGTTACTTTGAACAGTTTACTGGATGACTTCAGCTGTTAAACGCATGAACCATTACTTCTGTAATTCTGTTTTCATTTCTTGTTTTCACTGAAGAGAAGCAAGACAGTTTACATACTTATGCATATTTTCTTTGTACTCTGTAACACTTTAATCTTGTATAACTTTGTCATCATTTGTGAGACTACACGTCCCTTATACATTTATACTAGAATTCTTAAGGTATTTCCGATGATATCTACAACTACCAGGGTATGTATGAAATAATGAAGGGTATAATGATCAAGAGATGTATGTGTATATGTTTTTGTTTACAGAAAACATATTGACAGATAGGGTATGCTTTTATTTGTATGAAGTTGACACAATGCAAGTATCAGAATAGAACTTCTCACAAATCTCATTTTACCTGCTAGACACTGATTCTTCTGTATAAAATATGTAGGATTATTGTAATGTAACAGCTTTAGCATGACAAAAAGTCAGCATCTCAACTGATAAACTTTAATATTACAAAAGTGGACCTTTAACTTGATAGACTTTAGTATTACAGATGTGGTCCTTTAAGCTGATAGACTTAAGTATTACAAAAGTGGTCCATACCTGATAGACGTAGTATTACAAAAGTGGTCCAAACCTGATAAATTTTAGTATTACAAAAGTGGTCCAAACCTGACAGACTTTAGTATTACAAAAGTGGTCCAAACCTGGTAGACTTTAGTATTACAAAAGTGGTCCAAACCTGATAGATTTTAGTATTACAAAAGTGGTCCAAACCTGATAGATTTTAGTATTACAAAAGTGGTCCTTTAAGCTGATAGACTTTAGTATTACAAAAGTGGTCCAAACCTGATAAATTTGAGTATTACAAAAATGGTCCAAACCTGACAGACTTTAGTATTACAAAAGTGGTCCAAACCTGATAGATTTTAGTATTACAAAAGTGGTCCTTTAAGCTGATAGACTTTAGTATTACAAAAGTGGTCCTTTTACCTGGTTCACTGTAGTATTGCAAAGGTGGTCCTTTAACCTGATAGACTTTAGTCTTACAAAAGTCGTCCTTTAACCTGATTCACTTTAGTATTACAAAGAGTCCAATACCTCTACTGTTATTTATAGCTAGCTGTTTGCTCTCATACAATGTTGTAAAGAATCCAGATATTAATTTTAATGCTAATATAATGGTCCATTCATAAGATAATCTGATTTTCCTGTCAAAACATTGGGGTCTATCTGGGTCAGGTGTTTCATTTTAGAGCAAGATTTGAAGTGAACACAAGTTTACTAATTGGCTTTCGCATAAACTTTAAGTATCAACAAGTGACATAATTGTGGTCAAGATTGGCCCTGGGATGAAAATGACCAACTGAAGTATATACTGGTATAGCCATACATTATATAAACAGAACATAATATTCTATATAAATGTAGTTGAAATATTATTCTGTTTGTATTCAAACTTAAGATTGTCCTGAGATTTTGATGGGGTAATTTAATTTTTCCAAAGCTCTGACAAGTACTCAATGAAATTTATATTAAGCTTTACTCATACTAAATCGTACCACATGTGAGCATTTTGAAGATCATTCAGATAACAAACAAAATATTTTCTTTTCTTTTTTCCCCTCCTTGCAATTCAAGAAAACACTAAGAATTAGAAATGAATCTTTATGGTTGTTTTTATAACGACTTTTGAGGATAAGTTTTTTTGAGATCATATATAATCACAGTAAATAAAACAGCAAGGTACATGTTGTCCAGAAAGCTGAATTGAATTTTGAATATAATATTGAGAGTACTTAAGGTTAGCATATCTGTCTTAAAAATGGACCTATTAATAGGAAACTAGAGAGCGTTTTTTACTGGATAGTCATAAAATTAAGCTCTCTAAAACTTTTTGGAAGAGTATATAGTTGCTGTTTTGTTTGTCCGTACATAATTCCCTCCTTGAATGTCCAGAACGTAACTTCCCTCACAGTTAACTAAGGATAATGATATGCAGTGTACTAAATTCAGGGTCCTCGATCCCTGAACTACAGAGTAATTGCCCTTTGTTCAATTTTTGTGTCCATAGCATATTTTTCCTGTCATTCAAACTAGGATGACGAAACCTGTTTTGTCATACTAAAAGGACATGAATTGTTTCAAATCCAGGGCCTGCAAGCTCTTAATTCAAAGTTATTGTCCATTGTTAAAATTTTGTGTCAGGAACAAAACTTAAAATTGCTTGCATTTGAACTAGGATACTGAAACTCGTTGTATACTTGGTTATACTAGGGGGATATTGTGCAGTGTACATTGAGGACCCAAAACCCCATAATAACAGAGTTTTCGGAGTGCATTCATCATTTTCACTAATACTCGTGTTCGTTTAATGAGAATGATGATCAAACTCCTTAAAAAGACTCATGGATTATAAGTGGGATTGAATATAGAAAATAAAATAGAATGTAATTGATAGGAAATGATTTTAAAGACTTTTATACATTAGAAAAGCAATTAGACTCTATCTTGATTTCCACTCATACTGCTCAAATTACACACCGCCTGTACAGTTAAGTAGCTAGGGTATGTATATTGAAATGTTCTGAGACCTATGGTGCCTAAAATAGAGTTCTGATGATATATCACTATCATTGTTAATTTAGAAAATATACCTATCAGTGGAACGTATATCAGGTTAAAACTGCAGTGCTGACTTAGAAACACTAGTGTAAACAGTGACAAGAAATGATGGTGACTACACAAAAAATTTGTTGTGGTGGATCAGTACATCTTAATGTCTGTTTTTGCTTTCAGTGAAAATAGCATCCACAAAATTAGATGAAGATTTTAATGCACTTACGCAAAGTTTTATCTATTTTATCAAACAGTAAATTTGAATGTTCATTTCGTACAGAGGTTTCTAGACATAAAACAATGATTACAGGTATTAAACAGACGATGATATCAAACTGTTAATTGATATCAAACATCTGTTGGTTAGTGCGATAGTTTCATCTTTCATGTAGAAGTTTGTGGGATTGGTTCCCCTGAATGGAAATGAAAAGGTATTGAGTCACCTGCCCAAGCATGTAGGTTTTACTCTATTTTCCTTCCACAACCAGACCAATGGTGTGTTTCCATCTGGGCCGACAAGAGTGATTAATATAAGTTGGCTAAAGTTTTACAGTTGTTGAAAATTAGAATTCAATTATCAAACATGAAGTTATGATAAGCAATTGTCGATATTGAACAGTCGATATTAAACAATCGTTGATATTAAAAAATTGATTGCAATGACCAAGTGATATTAAACAATCTTTGATATTAAACAGTCAATTTCGATCACCAAGTGCTATTAAACAATAATTGATATTATACAACTGATTGGTATGTATACTTGATATTAAGCATCAGGTTGCATGGATATCTATTCACACACAATGTATAAACTTTATATTAAACAGCTGTAAGGATTTTCAGGTTGATGTTTTATTAAATAAGCTCTGAGGAATTGAAAAAAAATTGTCAGTTTTCAATATCACAATTAACTCAGAAGAGTATCAAGAAAACATAAGAAGATGATCTGTATGGTAGTTACCAGGCATACTACAAGCTTCTAGGTGTTGAACCAACCTGATAGAATTACCTGTGATTACAGGTGTGATGAAAATTAAATGAACTGTGAGATGAGGAGGCGATGGTCCATGTTTACACCAGACAAACACATAGGCCACTCCAAACGCTGAAGTGTGTCCCTCCATTTTGAATTGTCCTCTCAACATTTCTTTACAAATTTCTCTAGCAGAGGTTGATCCTTCTTAATAGGGTAAATGCCTATAAAATGTTGGTGGGTGTCTTTCTCATTTTGATGGTTTTCAAGTGGGTTGTCCAGCAGTGCTGTGGAACGTTATTTGCTGTGTATTTCGGTCTTTAATTCATCATTAAGCTCTCTGGAGTTTAGGATTCCTTGTGTGACATTTATGTTGCTTCTGTTGTTAACTATGTCAAGCGGTTGTTGTAGGCTGTAATTTTAAAGTGTTTTTATATCTTCATGGTTATGTGGAATAATCGTGTCCATGTAATCTACAGGCCTTGAAAATGTTATGGTTGGGTGGATTTATTTATAAATTCATTGATTGTGTGTAAAAAGACTTAATGTATATCATTTCAGGTAAAAATATGCTCCTCTCTTATGTAAGTAATAGTTAACACTTCCAAAATCTTTAAAGCAGAAAGGGGACTCGGAAAAAAGACAATAATACCTCTAAGCTTACATAGTTTATAATAATCAATATTTGTGTATAGACATATTTATTAAGTATTAACTGCACCATGGAGACCAAGGAGAATAATATCTGTTCTTGAATCTCAGATGCTACAATAAATTTATTGATACATGTATATTTTATTATACTGACACTATTTTCTTTACTTAAAAAAATTATTATAGCATGCTTTAATGCACTTGAAACAAAATTTTCAAGTGTGTATTGTACAATGTATTATTATTCATTTGACCATATACTGGCTTTCATTTTATATCTGAAAATCTTCTTCTAATGAACTGAAAAAACTTGACTCTTAATGTTAATATAGCATTATGTTATGATCAAACAAGTTATGTGTTATCAGTGTAGTACATGTGTAACCTGTGTTACTCTGATATTGTATTGATATCCTCATAAATATCCTCGTCATCATTTAGATTAAACTGCCTCTCATTCATGTGTAGGTGCTGTTTCCTCTTCCAACATGATGGCCATACAGTACATGTGGTATTGAACAAGGCGTTAGATTTCTGTGCTTTCCTGGGCTGGATTGTGGCATATATAGGTTCTACATTGTCATCCAAATCATTTTGATACAGATGTGGTGATACTTTTTGTGAATGATCCCAATACCTCTGTTCACATAAGCATCTATCATTGTTGGGTTTTCCTAGTAAGGATTTTGCATCAAGGCGGTCAGAGTCTTTCTGCAATTTTCTAATAGTGGTAAAATTGTGCCTTTTTAGAAGTCCCTCTGCATCTTGATCAGTATTCAATTCAAGAAGTTCTTTCACAGTGTAAAAATCATGAGCTTTTATTAACTTTCCTGCGGTTTGGAAATCATGTTTATTCAGAAGCTGTTTTGCTGTTGAAAAATGTTGAGATTTCAAGAGTTCTACAGCAGATTTATGAGGAGGTCCTTGTAAAAGTTCCATTGCTGTTTGGAAGCTGTGATTTTTAAGGAGTGCAACTGCAGTATTGTTTAAATGCTGATTTTGCTGTAGGAGCGTCACTGCTGGGGGAAGTTGATGTTTTTTCAGAAGTTGTAAAGCTGTTGGACAGCATACTTTTTTTTGAGGTTCGTGAAGACAGGTACACATTGTTAATATTTGGTATTTGTGGATCGTTTTGTTTTAGTTTCATACGGTCGGTACACCTATCCTCTTTTCCTTTCTTTATTGTCGACTGATGGTCTGATGTTCTATAGTTTGGCTCTGTTAACCATCATGGTTTTTGTTTGTTAGTAAAGATGACCTTGACCTGAAAAAAAAAATACTGATATTGTTACAGACAAAATGATCGGTATGAATAATGTAACATTTCTGTAATATAAGGATATCAAAACTACCAGCATTTGTTTGATTATAAATTATTTCATAGTTATCATTACAAGAAAAAAAAATTCTATATTTGCAATATTTTAATATTCCAATAAAAATTCAATCCATGTTTTACAACCTGGCATCATTTTATAACCAGGAAAGGATTCCAGCAGTAAAGGTATAAACCTGGCCTGTAGTAAAATCATCATCAGTGTTTAAATCCCGGTCTGGACAAAACTTCGTGGCTTGTTAGGTTAACATTGAAACCACATGTGGACAGTTCATTTTGTCTTCAGTATATCCCTGCAATTTATACGCTTTTTATTCTTTTAGAATAGTCTTGATTACTAAAAACAGAATAATAGTAGTAAATTTATAAGGAGAATATTGGTTTTGGTGATTATGTTCTATGTAAACAATCATTTGTGAATTTCAGTCAAGTTGGAATATTCTACAACTTCAGAGTGTAGTTTTATGCATGTGTGTATTGGAATGCTGATAAAATATTGAATCAACCTACAGACCAAAACTTGCTGAATCTGATATAAGTAATTTGTTATGTGCGACGCCAGTAGTTTGAGTTTATGAAAGACCATTAGTCAACAGAAAGACAAACCCACCATTTACAACTGAGAATTAAATCCTACGCCCCAATAGCTACCTGGTATATTTTCAGATATCAGTTGTAGTGTTTCTTTAAAAGCCAAGATATGGTAGATCTGTCTGAACGTAAACTTTTGTTTACAGATCCAGTTTAAGCTGACAGTGTATGATAAAACTTGTTCTTTCAGTATGTTTGAATGAATTATTTCAAAGTTTTGTTAGCTTAATGATTGATTTAGATAAAATATTGATCTATTGATTAAAATCTTATATAAAGAGCTTACTTTAGCTGTGGGCCTCAACATCAATGGACCAATCTGATATTCTCTTCTTGCCTTGTAATTTAATTTTTTAATTGAAAAGTAATGTCTGGAATGAAAATATTTCAAATTCTAAATCACAGCAACATGATTTTTTCCCCAATAGCAAATTGATTATAATATTGACCAAACTGAGGCCTTGTTTAGGATTCACCACATACTGGCTGTGAAAATTGATTGAGAGTTGGATTCAGTGTCAGTTTATCAATTACAAAGCAGCGACTTTGATAAACTAAACAGTGCTTACACAATTGAATTAATTTATCTTAGTTGTCTGATTCTTGTTTAGATGTAACAAAGGAGCTGAAGCTAGTCATCGGTCTACAATCGACATCTGCATTTAGTGATCGACCCAACATAGAGCACTGTCTGTATCTAAACTATCTGATGTGACAGCAGCTTTGGATTCAACTGTGATGTTGCTGTTAACTTACCTGTATAGATATGTAATAGGTAATAGTAAAAATACACTACTACTTGGTGGGTTCGAACTAGGGACCCTTGTGTCCCTAGCTGGACACTTTATTGCTTGGTGACAAGTAATTTCCAACTAGCTAGTAAGGTGACCTGTTTATACACTGCTGCTTCCTTCACAAAATCTTTAACACCAAGGAAAAGAATAAAACAAAAGGACAGGTAGTCAAAGACCTGTCAGAAACCATTCAGAGGATTTACTGCAGTCATGATATTGTAACAGCCATGAAATCTCTCAAGACTCTCCGAAATGTCCTAGTCAAGCCTAAGGATTAAAATCTCAAAGAGAATATTGCAGAAGTCATATATAAAATCTCTAAGATACTATGTGGGAGAAACAAGCCGGAGATTCAGGTCCCACTAAATGAACATCAGAAAAACGCGAAATCTCAAGATTAGAGGCCAAAAATTCGCTAGATCAGAGACAAAACATTCTCAGTCCAAGATCAATGAATCGGCACTTATAGATCATTTCACACAGCAAAATCATATCACTGACTGCAAAAATTCCAAAATAGTCAACAGGGGAAACAACCTTTTCAGATGGTTGGTTAAGAAGGCCATCTGATACTTTGTTGTGGGCCAGTACTGAACAGGGACGAGGGGGCCACCAACTCTCACACATTTATAAACAAGTGTTAAACGAAGTGTGGCCAAATTGACTACAGTACATTGTTACCATCTTGCAACCTTTTTTTCTGTAATCTGTTTACCATCTCATCACACTCAGCCTTAGTGTACATAGGATTATTGTACAGACAAGAAAGTTAGTTGGTCACTTACATTACATATGTCAGTGCTAGTATGCTTTACACTGGTCATTTGTGTCATGAAGGTGACCATGTAGTCATGGATACGTCATTCGTCAAATCTTCTGGTTGTGTTATAAGAACTTCTATTCTATGTCTGATGGGTGTCTTATGGAAAACTTTGTCTGATTGGTGTCTGATGGAAATCTATGTCTGATAGGTGTCTGATGGAAAACTGTCTGATTTGTGTCTGATGGAAAACTGTCTGATTGGTGTCTGATGGAAAACTATGTCTGATGGATGTCTGATAGAAATCTATGTCTGATGGATGTCTGATGGAAATCTTTGTCTGATGGATGTCTGATGGAAAACTATGTCTGATTGATGTCTGATGGAAAACTGTCTGATTGGTGTATGATGGAAAACTTTGTCTCATGGGTGTCTGATGGAAATCTATGTCTGATGGATGTCTGATGGAAAACTATGTCTGATTGGTGTCTGATGGAAAACTTTGTCTCATGGGTGTCTGATGGAAAACTATGTCTGATTGGTGTCTGATGGAAAACTATGTCTGATGGATGTCTGATTGAAACTATGTCTGATGGATGTCTGATGGAAAACTATGTCTGATGGATGTCTGATGGAGAAATTTCTGACAAAGCACTATGTGATATGATGTGTGTGGGAATCAGTAAGACAGACAGGAACAACAATGGGGGATCAACTGACAAGAAAATTCAGCCATTGTTCTTTCATGAACTGGAATTATAGCCCACTGTTGTAAATACAAACAGTCGTCTGTGATGATGATCGGTTTCAAGTTTTAAAGCACAGGTGTCTATTTTAGATTAATGAGAAAAATCTGAAATACTCAGATAAAGAGCTAAAACATTTACCAAAGCAACTGCTAATCAAAGGTATATTTTACCTGAACTGTAAACTTACCTGTGTTGTTGAAGAAATGAGCTGAAATGTTACAGATTCTTTGTGTTATGTTAACCGTCTCCTGATGTATTGATATATACGGGATGTTATACTGAGACATACTGTCACAGGTGTAAGGATGTCAGCCTATGTCACTTAGTAAGATAAACACAGATGATAAATAGAGAACACAAGATTATGAACATCTATTGAGTCTCCACTGCAGATTTGAGTGTTGAGGTATCTGTTTTGTAAATACACATACACTATATCTTACTACCCTCTCACATCAGTTTACTTAAAAAACTTAGTATAAGATTTACAAGTATCAGGATGATGTCCTATGTGTAAACTTTTATAGAAATCCTATCATGTTTTTCTATAATAGTCATTAACACATATTTTTAGTTAAAACTTTAATAAAACTACAATAGCAGGTTATTTGGTGTAAAACATTCTCAGTGTATTAGTCAAAGGGAGATAACTTGTCTTCGCAGAAAACATCTAAAAACAAAATGCTATGTTAGGAATTAAATTGAAACATGAATAAGCATAAAATTGATCAACTGACTCCATTTAAATGTACAGAAAAAGTGGAATTTTCAGTGTCCTGCAGTTATTTACTGATAGAGACTGTCTATATTGTTAAAATTCCAATGAGGTTTCTTTCGAATAGTTGTGTTTTCATTTCCTGTGGCATTTGGTACGAAATAAACCACATATAATAATGCTGTATGTGTGTCTTCAATGTTGTAAAGTGAGTGTGCTTCCAGAGTCAAAAGTATTGTTGAAGGGGGTAGTGGGGGGAAGGAATATAGCTGAAAGGAGGAGACACATACTGGACTATAAGGTAGCTTTACAATCAATTTCTATATGAAAAGAAGTTTGTGTAAATATTGCTGGGAAAGGTTTCTTTCTAATGTCGCTCTCGAGTGGTCTCCAAATCTATAGTTGCCATATATATTGTAATGTCATAATACAATTTGCAAGTTTGTGACATCATTTCTTTATCCACCTCTGATGTCATATGTTGTTGAATGATCTGTATGTACAGCTTCTGTATTGTGGAGTGTTTGGTCTGTACAGCTTCTGTATTGTGGAGTGTTTGGTCTGTACAGCTTCTGTATTGTGGAGTGTTTGGTCTGTACAGCTTCTGTATTGTGGAGTGTTTGGTCTGTACAGGTTGTGTATTGTGGAGTTTTTTGTTTTTACAAGGTCTGTGTTGTAGAGGTTTGGTCTGTACAGGTGAGAGCTTCTGTATTTGGTTTGTGTAAGCAGGTTGTGTATTGTGGAGTGTTTGGTGTGTACAGGTTGTGTATTGTGGAGTGTTTGGTGTGTACAGGTTGTGTATTGTGGAGTGTTTGGTGTGTACAGGTTGTGTATTGTGGAGTGTTTGGTGTGTACAGGTTGTGTATTGTGGAGTGTTTGGTGTGTACACAGTGTTTGGTGTGTCAGAGTTGCTGGCCTTTATAAATAGTATTAAGGTAATAGGAAATCATCATAATATGATTAACATAAAGTTAAACATTATTGAAATATTCCATGTTTTGTTTACACAGTTAGTATAGTTGGTTATCAGTGCTTGAGTTTAAAAGTAAGATATTATAGATTGTTATCAACATAGAATATCAGCGAAAAGAAATTATTCAAATATTGAATGTTCCTTTACTTTTAAGATCTGTTGACATTTTCGACATTATCAATCTAGCATGTGTATCTTCAGTGTACTTCAATGTTTGATCGCTCGAACAATTGATAAGAATTGAAATGTATTATACCAATTGTTG